CAGGAAAATTTATACGCTCGAGTTGCACGAGCCATGTAACAATGGGCCTTTAATTATCTGCGATTCGCCTTCGTCTCTATTAGCATGTAAATTAAGGAAGTCGAGCAGTAACGTGATTCCACGATTGCTGCTCGTGTACTAGAGGGTGTTAGGTAAACGAAGGGGGACGACGAAGAACGAGATGACGAAGGGGTATCAGGGATAAAGAAAGGGAAACGAAATAGAATAATGAGCGGGCTGGCGAGTCGAAGGGAAGGGGAAGAAACAGGAAGAGAAGATTGCAACGAGAAGAAAAGAAACTGAAAGTTGAGAATGGCGGTGCAATTTAAGAGCGCTATTAGCTGCCCCAGAAAGTTCCCTCGGACGTTACAAACACACAGATTTTATGCAACATTCGGTATCTTCGTTCTCACGGTTAACGTCACGTTCAATAACCCTTTCTCAAGGTAACATGGACGCTATTCTGCAATCATTGGCGTGGTTAGGATTTATTCTGAGGAGGTTTTCTTTCAAGGAGGTCCTTGAAAGTTTTAATTAAAAAATTCTGGAATTTGGAAAACCAAAGTTTTGAAATGCTGGAATTTTCGAAATCTGAAACTGAAGTTCTGGAATTCTGAAATTTTTGTATTTTAGAATTCTGGGATTTTGCAATTTTGGTATCTTAGAATTCTAAAATTTTTAACTTCTATAATTTTGGAACTAAATCTACGTTTTGTAGCTTTAAATTTTTCATCAAAATTCGCTAAAATTGTCAAATCAATAATGTGCCATCGACTTATTTTGATGTCAAAGGGTGAACAGTAATCATTGTCTCAGTTTCACGAATTAATGTTTCCAGAATTTGAACGATTTTTCATTTTTCATTCATTTTTCATGTACAGAACAATTTCAAGATCCAAATCTACAAAATACATATTCTTTTTCCTAACAGTTAATATGAATCTGCATATGTTTTTTTAAAATTACATGTTTTATTATAACTGTGATTTTAAATTCATTTCTGTTTAAAAAAATGTTTATTTGAATGACGAATACCAAAAAATGACTCGGAATTGAGCAAAGAAAATTCAATCTTACGTAGATAAAAGAAAATTTAATAACCAACACAACTGTAAAATAAAAAGAAATAAGTGAGTCGAGAAAGTAGTTACACAATTTGAAAGGAAAATTTTAAAAAGCCGATGTGAAGTGTAACATACCGAATGAGATTCAAAGTGAAAAGAAATAAGGAAAGAAATTGATAGACCGTTAATAAGAGAATAAGTTGAAGTTTAAAGCAAAAGTAAAATGAAAAACGGAATTGAATTCACCTGATATCAAATAAGAAAGGAAGTCAACAAAGAAGAAACATGAAATCCTAGAAGTCAGAAAGGAGCAATCTTAGATAACGAAATAAGTAGGAGATAAGAAGGAATGGAAGAAAAGATTGAAAAATTGTGAGAGCGAGATTGAATAAAGGAAAAAGAAAGGGATAAGAAAGTAGTAGACAAAAACTGTGACGTGGTGAAATGAAAAGGAGATCAATAAAAAAAACACTAGACAGAAAGAAAGGTTCAAATATAAAAACATGAAAAATATAAAAAACCAAAGTAAAATAATAAAAATCACACGAAGGAGAATAACAGTACAGAAAAGGGGTACTCTGTAAAATAAATTGAAATTATATAAAGAAAATAAATAAGCAAACTTTGTTGAGAAAAAGTTCTCTAAATAATTTGAAATATTATTACAGATAGTAATGCAGAAAAAATTGAACCTTGTAGCCATGATTTATCGAAAAGCAAGGAATCTGTTGGACAGGCAGGATTTATTGAATTAGACAGGATTCCAAGGACAACGTTTAAGATACAGTTTCTTTTATTTATTCGTACAAGTCGTCTTATAATTAGCGCAATGTTCTGAACTCTCCCGTTCGATAGGCGTCCAGGTATTATCGCTGTACAGGGTCTACCATTTATCTCGGAACCCGCGCGCGCGCGAACTCATGAATGTGCAGAGGAACCCTCTGCAAACCATTGCTGAAAGTATAATGTCATGTAGAGAGCTGTGGGGGGCGATGTAAAAATCCCTAGAGTTAAGTTGGTAATCGACCGAACTCTGGTCTGATTGTGAGATTCGATTCGGGATACGAGTATGCACGACGAGCAGTAGTAATTCTTTGAGTCGTCTCGGCTCGGCTCCGCTCGGCTTGGCTCGGCTCGGCTCGGCTCGGTTCGGCAAAACTCGGGCGCGATCGGCTGAGAAACAAACATACTTGTATCCCGAATCGAATCTCGGATCAGAGTATCGCCGATCATGCCAAACGTTGCGCTGTTCATGAGTTCACGCGCGCATGGGTTCCGAGATAAATGGTAGACCCTGTACTCTCGTTGTCGGTCGAGCGTCCAGGAACAGTTCCCCCGTACTCTCCCTCCTGTCTGTAAAAATCCCTACAGTTAAGTTGGTAATCGACCGAACCCTGGTCCGAGATTCGATTCGGGTTTGTAGGCGTCCAGATATTGTTACCGAAGTTTCCTACCGGGATCTCTCTCTCTTGTCGGAGTCCTTAATCCTTTCGCTGCCACAGTGGTCCCATAGGACCGACGCTTTGAGCCATGGTGGTCACCGGTGACCGCCATGAATTTGTTTTTAAAATCATTCATTTTGAAACAAATGTTCTCGAATAAAAATTAATGAATTATGCAAATATGCATATAACCTTATAAATTAAAAAGTGCGCTACTCAACAATAATAAATGTTTATTTAATATATAAAATATTTAATCTTCTGTTTTAGCTAAAAACAAAGTAATGTTCTTGATAATACAGAATTTTTTTATGTACATACTTTCTATTTTATGAAACAGTACAGTTCGTGTTTATTAAAAATTATATTTTTCAGTGGAATGTATTAAAACGGGGCAAACATTTATTAACAAGTATTAGTACGACACTGTAGTCTAACACCTTTGAAGAATACTCACAGACTGTCTAAATTATTGAAAATTACCGTTCAAACACATTTTCTATCTTCCTCAATCATTTCTGAAATTTGTTGGAAAGATAAACTGCGTCATGGGGCCACGATGGTCACTGGCGATCACCACCACGAAAAATGTGCTATTGGCAAGATTGTACCGTTGTTTTAATATATTTCGCAGTTCTTTGCCATTATAAAATTTTTAATATGAAATTTGTATTGTGGCCCACTGGTGCAAGTTCAAAAATTTACGTAACAGCGAAAGGGTTAACCTGCCGACCAAGAGCGGCCGATGGTCTTACCTCGTCCTCTCTCTCGGATAACAACAGGCAAAATAGGCCAAGTCTGTCATCCGTTCGTTGCTATCTGCGGCCGCCGAAATCAACGATTGCGTTGTCAAGTATAGAATTTGGCGTTTTCCGTGCTCGCGTTTCGAGTGCCCATGGTAGCCTACACTTGACTTTTCTCGAATTTTTCTGGTCGCTTCCAGATCGCGACGTTTTCGCAATGTTTCTTTACCATTGTTACAACCGAAATTTTAATAAAAACAAGAAATGAAATAGTGGTGGGCTTTTAAGAAAATGTTCACAAATGTGTCAGAACATTTGGCACAACATTAATTAAACTAAAATTATCTTAACATTTTATTAAAAACAAACTAGAAAACAAAAAACAAAAAAAATTTTGACACCTACCTATTTATTTTGTGGAATCTTTGGTTCTTGCAATTACAAGTTCCATTTTGTACAGTACCAAGCATGGTAGACTTTTCTAGGGAAAGGGACGATTATTATTAATTAAATCATTACAATTATAAATAAATTTACTTACATATAAAAATATTAACGATTCAAGTAGTATATAGATAACTAACTGAAAAAATGGTAATCCCTAAAATCCGAATTTTCAAGATATTAATATTGAGAATAATTTAGAGAAAAATACAATTTTCTTCAATGATCCAATATAATAAAATTTAATATGTAACTAAAAAATATTAAATCATTTTCTGGAGTAAATATTTATACAGAATGATGGAATCTTTTTCCCTTATGTCGCCATTTTCTTAAGAAAGCTTACCATACTCGGTATTATACCTTTAAAAATAAAGAAATAAGAGTAAAATCTAATAAGTAATGAAAATAATCATAAAACCAAGGAAATAAGAAAGGTGACGTAGAGAAGAAACAAAGATTGAATGGTGTCATGGAAAACCACGCAATGAAACACAGATATGTAGTATTAAAATACGACACCTTCTCACTATATATGATGCAGATCCACGTCACACTCATTGTTGGTTATTCATACATATTATTGATATTATTACGTCTACTCCTTTCAAGAAACGAATATATTATACAAAAACAAATTTGTTTTATTAATTTACTATTGATGTTAAAATGTTACTAAAGAATTATATTCTATAATTTTCCTTAGGAGGTCATATTACGCTCGCTTTTATAAAAATTCCAGAAATTACTTATCATGATATTAAAAATGAAATTATTTTTCTTTTGCCCCTATCCTTTATCACAGTTTAAGTTATAAAGCAAATTTTATGAAGAAACATAAAACTGGGGCGGAGGGCATATTACCACCGCTTCCTCTATCAATTAAAAAATTAAAGATTCTTAAACTTTATTCGTGAATGAAGTAAAAGGTATACATAAAAAGAATTAAGATTAACAAGTAATCATATGAATAAATTGAGGGGTATACTTCCGTAACGCCCCATCACCCCAGGACAACCAAACTTCGGATTTATAGTAATTGAGGGACGAGAAATTGAATGAGACCATTTTCAGAATTGGCAAATAAACCGTTCTCGAGATATACAGGGTATTCTAAAAGTGCGGAAACCCCCTATTACCTCGATAAGAACGCATTTTCACGGAAAATGACTAACCTAACCTAGGTTAGGGTTAGGGTTAGGGTTATGTTAGTCATTTTGCGTGGAAATGCGTTCTTATCAAGATAATAGGGGGTTTCCGCACTTTTAGAATACCCTGTATATCTCGAGAACGGTTTATTTGCCAGTTCTGAAAATGGTCTCATTCGATTTCTCGTCCAATTACTATAAATCCGAAGTTTGGTTGTCCTGGGGTGATGGGGCCTTTTGGAAGTTTCCCCAAATTGAGCATGTTAGTCCGTTAGGAATTAATAGTCTGACCAGGGATGTGTTTTAGGGATGTATTTCCATTGAAATTCACCTTTCTTGAGTTTTGTAGTTAGTTTCAACATATGAATCCGCCGCTCAACACCGGGGGATAAGGTGAAAGCACTACGCAGTGAATTCTGAGTGCTAAACCTAATAAGTAGTGTATTTTGATCTAGGTTCACTAGAATAACTTATGCTTCTGGAAAGAAATTTACTAGATGACTGATCTCCGGTGACTATTTTGCCAGTTGCAATGCTAAATGAATATAATCCCTGATACTCTCCAGGTTCTGTTAAAACTAGCCTCACAGAGACCCCACGAGGACCGCGTGATGAACTCGGTAAGGATAATGCTGTGGACTGAGGTATTGCAGGTAATAAGTCTCATTTGGACATTTTAAGAGCAATAGAGTCAATAGCTTCTTCAACGCGTGGCATTAGTTCTACGATATTGCGCACCTGTTTCATGAAAATTTCAACCACTTTCAAGGTTTCTTGTTGCTGTGAACGGTGTTCTGCTAAAGCTAATCGGAAAGAATGTAACATTTCTGTGATCTTGGTACAAACTTCTAGGATTGAGTCGAGATTAGGTCTAATGTAGGAATACATACTGTAGAAACATGTCAAAAAGGTATCTACCTTGTGAGGTTCATAGAGGAGAGTCTTTACAAATTTCGATGCAATATCGGCTAAGTTATACAGCTTACAGTCTTATTAACTTCCGAAATTGATACTCATTTGTATTAGTTAGGATACACGGCACATGTTGAATCATTTCTAGAGCTTCCTCCCATAAGAAGAAAACCTTAGTTTCGCTACAGGTAATCAAATGCAATTTCAAGAGAAACTGACGTGTCGTCTTTCCCTTTTCATCTTGGTTTCCTCTGCAGGGAAACCATCTACGTGCTTTTTGTTCACTGTCCTCCTTTTGTGGAGAAGCTTGGACTCTTGAGACGTCTAAATCTAAATCGACATCTCCCGGAGATTTGGATTTCCTTGTCGTCTTCCCCCCTGGAGACGGCTTCACTGGTTGTGTAGGAGGCATTCTAGCAAATGATAGGAGTTCGTTAAATACGATGGAGCAAACCCGAAAATTACTTTCAAGTAATATAACATGTAACGTATTTTATCAGTAGGGGAAGAGAAGATAAATAAGATGAGGTTTAACTTAACTAAAATGAGGAAAAATATAAACAACTAAACCAAAATAGAGAGCAAAAAAGTTAAATCGAAAATAAATTTGATATTCCTTTCTTCAATTAAAAATTCAATCTAGGCATAATTAGAGATTTACTGTAACAAAAGCTTATAGCCAGTTAAAATATGAATTAAAATTATTTGGTAAAATATTATTATCATTAACATTAATATTATTTTTATCTCGGTTATTTACTCGGCGTATGTCCACAGTCTCTAATCCTCGGATAGCGGGCCATGGTGAGAGCTCCAATTTTAATCCAATTTTGTATTTCATATTATTCTCTGTCGCGAACAGCGCTCAAGACAATAAACAACATAACTTACTGAACAAAGGAATACAGGGTCTACCATTTACCTCGGAACCCGTGCGCGCGTGAACTCATGAATGTGGCAACAGCGCAACGTTTGACATGATCGGCGATACTCTGGTCTGAGATTCGATTCGGGATACGAGTATGTTGGTTTTTCTGCCGATTGCGCCCGAGGTTTGCCGAGCCGAGCCGAGCCGAGCCGAGCCGAGCCGACTCGAAGTTCCACTGCTTGTCGTACATACTCGTATCCCGAATCGAATCTCGAACCAGAGTTCGGTCGATTACCAACTTAACTCTAGGGATTTTTACATCGCTCTCCACAGCTCCTTACATGACATTATACTTTTAGCAATGGTTTGCAGAGGGCGCATCTATCGAATCTGTTGCCACATTCATGAATTCGCGCGCGCACGGGTTCTGAGATAAACGGTAGACCTTGTATATTTTGATAATATAAACGTTATAAAACCGAATGCCACGAGAACACCGTTAGTTTACCATACACACCAAAACGGAAGAGAAAGAGGAGGGCGCCACACGCCGTCGTAAACTACATAATTGACGCGAGGATACGTATCGCATGGCGCGAATTTCAACATTTTCATTGTTTAAATTTTACACTATTCTTTTTAAAATTATTCTTCTAATATATGAAACTCTTTCGTTTCAAAATTATACATAATTATGAATAATATCCTTGTATATGTTTTGTAAGTTTGAGTCACGATTGATCTAGGCTCTGTTGTTCAAGATTTAATCCGCAACGAAACGTGTTGAGCAGTGAGAAATAAAATCGCACCACGATAGAAAGCAATGTAAAAAAAATGATAACCCGGAAGAGCACAGGAGCGAGTACGAATAAAAGGAAAGTATAATTAGTCGAAAACAAGAGGGAAGGAGATGAGGTAAATAGAACGAAGAGGAAAAAACGAAGGTAAGACAGCGTTGAAAAAGGAAAATCAGTAAACAGAACGGAAAGAACGGAGAAATTGTAACAGCGGGAAAAGGATGGCGATATAGGCGTAAAAATTGAATGAAAGAGGAAGAATGAAAGACGTTCTTGTCGTTTCGGACGAGAAACGATGGATCGACGCGTCGTGCATATCGACACGCCATCACGACTATGAATACAGCTTCTCCTGGTACATCATGGATGCAATTCAGAGAGAGTGCCACATTTCTCTCCTTTCTGAATGCTGTTGCAAAATACCATGTCTTCGATATATACTTCATATCTGTCACTGCATTCGAAAGAAACTGTATTACGACTCGTCATGAGATTTTTTAAAGGATTTGTGTACTATTCAGAAATTCTTATAAAGACGTACGTTTCTTGAAAACATGTCCTTTCCACAATTATCGTATTTTTAGAATTTTACAGATCTTAATATACAATATTACAAAAAAGACTACACTAGGATCGAATTAAGATTTGAAAAGGCACGGGGCTATAAAACCTTCGAGGCTTCTCTTGGTTGCTAAACTTGATTCAAAAATTGAAATTTATTCTACATAAAAGTAGATACAATTTTTAACAAACATGAAAAAGGTACATATTTTAATAATTTAATGATTTAGAAAGCTTCAAAAGAAAGGATTTATTCTTGCAATAGCAATTGAATGGAATATTAACAATACGATGCTGGATAGTAAGTCGTTCGCTATATTTTCCTGCGATCTACCCAGCGAATGCAAAGATCGAATGTGGAGTTGCATATGATTTGCGAGGTCTCGAATTGCCTCCGATGAATCGTCGGACACAGTGTCGGTTTTAGCAATATTGGCGCCCTGGGAAAGATTATCGCGGCGCCTATTCAGGGGTTCCAAATTTTTAAGAAAAAAAGACAAGGTAATAATATGAAACGATGAATCTGTAGTTAGACTGTAAAAATTGTAAAAATTAGCAACTTTACTAATCTAAACGGATATAAATGAACAAACGCATACGATACCGAGCTGCGGCGCCCCCTACAGATCTAGCGCCCTGGACTATTGCCCCTCCCCAACACCGGCACTGATCGGACATCGCGGGTGTATCTTGCAATAGGGCGGCGTGACGCAAAACGGGCACTTGTCAAACGAAAGCTGCGATAGCGTCTTCAGCTCGTCCGGACAATAAAAGTTTTAGATATAATGCAATTTCTGAATGCGACTTATTGTTAGACCCGGTTGTACGTTAATTAGAGTATTAAAAGCGTCTTTAAACGTTACTCAGTTCTCGATTCGACCGTCAAATTTAGGAAGATCGATTTTCGGCAGATTAACCGGTAATGAGAACATCGACGACGATGGCGCTGGTGAACCTCTTAAATTCGGATCGGTTGGGAGCTGCGGAGATGGAGTCGCGGATCGCTCTAAATCAGAGCTCGGCAAGATTTGCACTTTTCAGCCGATTTTCAGCTGGCTCCGCCTACCGCTATTCCCCTTGTCGCGACGCGCTATGTTCAGCACGCAGCCTACGAGTCGTTCGAGGCTCAGGAGCGTATCACTCATAAACGTATGCTGGCAACCACTTAAAAAATAACGCATCGACAATGTGTAGTACCTCGCGGGTGAGGTGGAAAGCTATTGTCAGCATACGTTTCCAAGCGATACGCTCCTGAGCCTCGAACGGTTCGTAGGCTGCGCGCTGAACGTCGCGGCAAGGAGAATAGTGGTAGGCGCAAGCCAGCTGAAAATCGGCTGAAAATTAAATTAGCAAATCTTGCCGAGCTCTGCTCTAAATGTTCCAACAACACGACTGCGTTGGTCATTATGTCGTCAAAATGATCAGTTGTGGCTTGACGTTCGTGTACGACTTGGTCAAAATTATCGATAAGGGCCAATTTGTCTTGAATCGCGTTGAAAGTCTCGAATTGATTTCGCAATCTCCGAATACGTTTTCGTAATTTTACGCGTTCCTTCACGGAATCTTGAAACGCTTCGACGTAATTCCCAAACATCGTGCACTGGGATTTAAAAATTCGTCGCTTCTGTTTGAGATCTCGAATGCGTGCGTTCGTTTGATCAGACATGCTCGTGTTCACGGTCGCCATTTTAAGAATAATGACAAAAAAGAGAAAATATAACGAGATAGGATCGGTAATTGGTAATTCGTAACTAATGAGCCTACCTTCGGCTGGATTCGGCGTGCTGGAGTTGTCTTGGGCTCGAAACGTTGTCGTTGACGGGTGGCACCGGTTGTACAACGGCGGCACAGCTTCCAGGCACTAGGTGTCCTACTGTTGAGGTCAGATCCTTAACAATGATTTCCCTTTGGGATGAATCTGCTAACTGGAGCTGCTCCTTGTCGATCTTCTTTCACCACCGTTTATTTCGATGCGTAACGATAGGATCCGTACGTGGCACTGTTCACTGTCTATTCACTGCACTTCTTAGATCGCAGACCCTGTTTACGAGTTTCCTTTTTTTGGACTGGACTAGCTTTTGTCGGAGGCCTCTACGTTTTCTAGCGCGGACTTCCAAGAGTGACGATCGGTAAAAATGCACCCGCGACGATTGGAGCTATTCTAACGCCTGTTCTCGCTCCTGATTGGCGCGGTCCCGGCGCGATTTCGCACGCGTCGCGTCGCTTCATTTGTCATGTTTCGTCTGAAATTGCAGTTTGTCTCTGCGAACACGAGCATTCCCACGATTGGTTGTAATGGTAGGAAAATTAAATTGATATTCACGATGGATGTTTGGAAAAGGTGTGAGTGCTGGCCAAGAAGCTGCTGATGCACTTACTGGGGTAAGTGCTTGAAAATAGAGTGGTGGGACAGGCGTCCGCCAAGAGTTCTAGACAGTTGCTAGTGAGCGAATTGATATTCGCGATAATTCCTAGAGACGAAGGTCGCCGAGTGAACCGTGGTGGTTCACGAAGAATTCTAAACAAGACTGACTGGCATTGATAAGGCTGTCAACGAAAAGAACCTCGAGGGGTGCGTCGGCCGCGGAGGAGTTGACCATGAGGAGCCAATCGGCATTCCTCAAAAGTCGAGACAGGCACCGATTGGCAATACGGCTTAGCAAACCGAGTCGCGAGATGATACCCCGTTTTGAAGAGCCTAAGTACCTCACATCTGCGGTGCACATGGGGGACGTTTGAGTTTGTTGTCCTTGGTGGACGGTGAGTGGAAGCCGGCGATTACCTGATGCTAGGGCATGGTGAGGTCGCAACTGAGGCAAATTCCAACTTGTCGACCCATGCACCTCAGGGATAGTCTCAGTTATACTGTGAGAAGGAGTATCTTCATGATTGATACGTCATGTTTGGGTTTCAAAAAGGCTCTTGGTCATAATGTGGGAGTTGGAGGAATAAAACGAAACATACATAGAATCTCCGCGTTGGCATGTGTTGGCCATGCACCGCGGAACAGATCCGGCTCGAAGGACCATGTTTTGTCTGGTGGCAATTTCGTCGTGAGTTTACCCGAACGTTGTTAAATTCAAAATCAATTGTTTTTAACTAGTTATGATTTCTGGTTTTCGACACGATGAGACCAGACGATTAAAAAATTCCGTTAAATTAATTCCGATGGAGACGTCGAGTTGGGGGACAACGCGTTGATTGGTTTTCCTGCGAAAAGTCAAAATTCCAATCAGCGTGTCCCCCTGAAGATCGGTACCACCCTCTCTAGCGCCCTTAGCGCCTCTTCGTCTATACTCCGTTCAACGAGACAAGTCAGCAAGTATAAACACGTGCACGTAAGCAGGGCAGGGACGACTTATGAGTTCCGGATTCCCACATCGCATCGTAAAACAAGCCTGACCTTGCATGCAAGAGCCCTCGGCAAGGGGCCACCATAACTTGGCCTTGAGTTGCAACATGTGACAGCCAATGACCGCAATCGCAGAGCCGATCACGTGAAAAGCGAGGGAGTTGTTTGTTTTGACTTGGTGACTCGTCTCGTTGAACGGAGTATATATCGGTGCGTACACGAGAACCTCGAAAGTCCGGCAACGCCGGGGTTTTTCCATCCAGGTTGAGCCTCGAAGGCTGGGGTACCGTTACGAAGTCCCGAATATTAATTTACCATTCGGAAAAAGCCGAATTAATGACATGAGCGGAGCTATTAAGGACGAAAACGAAACTTAAAATCGGACTCTACTGTACAAAAAAAAAAAAAAAAAAAAAATGTACTGATCGTATTGAGTATCCAACTCCTTTTCGAAGCCGAATAAAAATGGTAAATGGTTGTTGTCAGAAAATGCTAATGACGTCATAAGCTCCCTTTAGAAATTCTCGCATATCTGTTCCGTCAAACGGTCGGAACAATAGTAACATAGATACTGATAATGCACATATTGTGAAGCAAAATTGCGATAATGTTTATCGACATTTTGTAAAGGGGTTGTATGATCATAGCAACAATTTTAAGGAAACATCTTTTGTTACAATGACATAAATCTTGCAATAGCAATTCCTAACAATAAATGAAATGGTACAAGTTCCTTTCATAGCAATACTTTTAAAGAAACAGTAACGTTTGTTACAGTAATACAAACTCGGTAATGGCAATTTGAAATAATGAATAAAATAATGGCACAAATTGTGAAAGAAAATTGCAATACTATATTTATAAGTGGTTTTTTGAAAACATTATTTTCTTATACAGGAATTTACAATACAATATAAAATAATGTTGATATTTATAATATTAAGTAATGAATAATATATTTTATTTATATTTTAAATTTTTGCGACAAAATCCTAACATTAATCGGAATATTAAAATTTTAAACCTATGCGTTGTAAATGAAACCTTTGTAAATGTTTCCTGATCTTTGCTACTTTGCTTTATTTGAATGATTTAAATTTTTACATACTTTTTAATTAGTTTTATTATAAAATTGTATTACTTTTATTATTATATCAAACTATAAAATGTGATGAAACTAAATAGTCTAAATTCAACTGCAAAATAGTAAACTTGTTTACTATTAACAAACGCTCTACAAATAATTGAAACCTAAAATTTATTTATTTTCTAAATTAATATTCGTAAGAAGATTTAATTGAACTTAATTTCATTTAGCAAAATTGTTCAATCAACTTAATAACCAAGAAATTCACCTAGGTATATATTGCTAGATAAACATTTAACTTAAATCAAATAATTTTGTTTAAATGTAACAATAATAAAATGAACATAATGTATTTTAAATAACTAAAGCTTCTGTTCCTTTGACGTTCATCTGAAACAGAGCATAGGATTTATACAATTACGGTAGAATTATTCCTGTTTTCTTCTAATTATTACACTCACATTGCCAGAACGTGAAACTGTTAAACAGAAAGAAATGCAACCTTGTAGGTAATAGGACGTTCTCACGTTTTAATACGATACATTTATTCCTATCTGAATGCAAGTTATGCAGTGAAAGTGATACTATAAGATCTATTAATAGACAAATGAACATTATTTAATAAACCTATCTCTCGATTGCTATGTACAGTCATAAGGAAGAAATTCAGTATTTTTTTAAATAGAATTTAATATAAAATTTACATATATATGTACAGAAAATATTAAAAATTGGAGTTATTTATTTTCATGCAAAATGAAAATGTTTTAATAAATTAAAACTTCAAAATGAAGAAATTAAGAATTAAAAAATTAAAACATTTGAAATAACCAATAAGCTATTATAATTCCTAAAATTTCCAAACAGTTTTTCTTTCCACCTCACTCGTTAGTCTCCGAATTTAAATCTTCCATAATAGCAATTCTCAACATTTTCATAAATGTATACCAGCCGAATCAAAATGTAAAAGTTCCAGTACCATCACAGGGGATACCTACATATGTCCAATACATAAGAATTTAGTAAAGATTATACACTTAATTACATTGCTGTCGTATATTTCTTTTATTCGGTTTCTGATAAAATAATTGTACAAAAAAAAGTAAACTAACATTGTTATGTTGTATAGTATCAAAATTATGCATGTACGACCCAGCTACTTCTCGAGTGCCACTAGTTCAGAACCACTATTGTATAATATGCTGGGAATTATTTAGCAAAATATCACAAGATAGGGTATAATAAAGAAAGAAAGCCTCTAAACTACTTTAAAAGAAGAATGGCAAAAAATTCTATTAAATTCCATTGTAAAATTATTGCACTCCTCTATGCCAAGAGGATTAAAAGTCAAAAAGTCAGAAATTAATTAATATTGCCCTCGTATGTTATTATACGAAGTCATTGCTTATTTGAATTTTCCCTAATAAAACCATTAGGCTCATTAGTTAGAAAATATTGAGGATATATAATTTTCCTTATCTGAAAAATTTCTAAAAAATTATTTATGTTCACTGAAAAAGTGATTTTGGTTTAATAAAGATTATTAATCCTTAATGAGCGAACTAACTCATTTATGTCTGAAAGAAATTCCAACTTTATCGAAACTTTCTTCTGAATATTTATTTTCCCTAATTAGTTCTTTAAATATTTGATTCAGGACATGATTGTATATTAAAGTAAAAAAAATTAGTCCCGGGCATAAATGAGTCAGGTTGCCCACAACCCAGTTGCAAAAAATATGCTCACCCTCGGAGGATTAAAAAAGAAAGCATTAGAAATGAATTGTAACGTATGAGACCTGCTAGGTTTAAAATAGCCTCTTTACAAAGTGTACGAAAACTTTCATGGATACGTATTTCATTTGTTAAATTGTAATGAAATTATAAAATAGATATTTCTGTTATACACACAATCAGAATAATACTGTTTGTTGAAATTTAAAACGGAATTACAATCAACGTATTGAAGAGACGTGACAAAACTGCAGTACCTATGCTCAAATAAAAATGATTGATGAAGAATTTCAAATGTTTTCACTGAAAATAAAATTCGTTTCCTCTAATACAATTGATGCGTTATATGTACATACAATATCAATCATAGTGTCCGTTCGTCTAGTAATTTTGTAATTTCAAATAAATTATTGAATATTCTAAAACTTTGATCAGATGATTATGTTAATTATTTTAACGCTTTTATTAAATAATTAGATTTATGATATTTGCTGCGGTTAAACTTGGACTCCAAAGTCAGTACTTTTTCACCAGATGAACGGACACTATGATTGATATTGTATCTAATCATGTAATTATATGAAAAAAATCGTGTTTCTTTTGAAGTAAAATTGAATTGATTATTTCTGCATATATTTGTTTTTATACTGGTGTGGAGGATGATTCACAACTGTTCACATTCATTAAAGGTACTTACGTTATCATACCATCTGTTATCTAAATGTTCAGCTTACTATCACGAAGTAATAATAAATTGTTAAATGGATATTAGATTGACTTACATTAAGTTTCTTACATATGAGCTTCTATTAAGTGCTGTTAAATTTGAAAACTATTATAGTTTAAATATCATCTGTCAATGGGATAGTGGCGCAATCATAATTGCATGACAGAAAGTTAAAAATGTTTTTGTAAACA